GACTACCTCTCATCTCGTATCTCGTCTCTTATCTACAGGTGTCTTATGGCATAACCATAGGTGGCGCTATTGGTGGGACCTCAGCCGTTGCCGCATTTGGTACAATTGCAACCGTTGTCGTTAAGAAATTGGGGTATGTTTGAATTATAACATGACTGACAGTTATCACCGCCATTGCGAGTTTCAACTGCATCATTATAATTTGATTTTATAGCGTACATTTGATGGATTAGCAAAAACCAGGGCCACGTGTTCTCTGTGTTCGAGTACGTCACTTAGTGTGCCATTTGTTGTATCCTAGTCCATAGTTAGATTGACGTGCCCTTCAAAAAATGGAGTTATCAGTCGCCATATAAATGTAGTGTGCTCCGGGAAACAATTGCCAACGAGCCTTATAGTTGACGTCATCGAACGTCATACCACGCACGCGCAGAAACCGCAAATTGTCAATTTAATGTATTCATGTTTTGCTTGTATCGTTTTAGCTTTTCGGCCTTCAGTAAAATATCACCAGCCTAGGACACCCGTCAGCGTCTCCAGTGACGTCACACTTCTCTGGTGTACCTTCTCCCTATGATGAATCTCGACAGTTAACGAAGTATAATCACCCGCCACCTTGGGTTTCGAACTGAAGTAGAAGTCTTGATCATCGTCTGCACATTTTGATAATTTTCACATGTTTTTATTTTACCGGTAGTTACAAGACAGGTCGAGACGAATTATAATTTTGCACTACTGAGGCATTTTAGTACACATGCTGCATTGCATTATGGGAGAACAAATCGTATTTTAGGATTTACTCAAGATTAATATATATTAATATACACTGTCACCGTAACGCCATAAGTTTTAGCGTGCGTAATTTTGCGGTATTTTACTTGGTATCCTACCATATAAGGAAATGCGTATTCTAAATATGGAATGATTACGCGCGTATGCGTCCTCTTATAATAAAAACAAACATGGCTGCCACCAGGGTTTGACCAGACTCCACACAAATAAGTTCGCTGATTCTGTTCTAAACTTTTTGGATTCCGGCATTCCCATGATGTATCCTATGAAGGAAAAGATGTATAATAAGGTTATTACGAGGATACCTCAAAGAATTCACTCAGACAGTATGCCGTCGCATCAACCTCCGCTGCGCGTCGGTCGATACTCCCACTGTACTGTTTTCGTGCATACTTTGAGGTATTCTCGTAATAACCTCATATTAATATAATTTCGCGATATGAAGAAATAATTTCACAATAGAAATCACTGATACAAATTTCCTATGACATTTCGGATTCTTGTTACTAGAAAAAAAGTCTGGAGACCACAATTGTGTTTTATTTACCTTATTTTATTACCCGTAATAATGAAATTATGAAAAAGATGGCATACACTAGTAATATTTCATGTCACACTAACCTCATTAAATATGACAAACAGGAGATGCTAACGATGAATGAATTGCGTAATAATAATTTAAAGCTGGAGGGTCGTCACCTGCACATGCGCGAGAATTGAGTCCTAAACGACGATAAGAACGCACGCTTAAAGGCTCATGGGTAGACCTTTGTTTGTAAACACCGACACGCGCATGCACAGGTGACGACTCCCCCGTTTTAAAGTACATCGAAAGTTTCTTGTTTCTTGAGACAGTAACATTGACTGATCATTCGAATCTTTTCCATGGAAACTAATGATTGAAATGTTTAAAAATGGCCGCCATGAATGTATTTATCATAATAATCCAAATCAGCGTTTCTCGAAACACTGCCCTAACTTGTTTTACGACAACATCGTTTATTGGCTGAAAGTATAAAACAATAAAATTTAGAAAATCCTGAATATTTTCGTTGAGTATGAAACTCAGAGGACTGGTGGCGAGCAAAATATTCCGACGTGGCCGGTGGTAACAAAATAGTGAATGTACTTTTCGTTCGGTAATTATTGCCTCCATCTTGTTTATATCGCATCGTCATTCCTTATTCGAACTTTGTATTTCCTAATACGGTTTCGTTGCATATATTGTATTGGAAATTTCCAATTTTGATAATATCAAACAATTTTGTACATTTTCACCAAAAAAAAAATGTGATTTTGGTAAGATGTTTTAACTGTGTGAATATTGCATGTTTAACAGAAATTCTATCTATATTCTTACTGCAGTCCTTTTGAGTGTATGTGGTTTTGTTCGAATGGCAAAGCCCACTGTTTTCCTTGGCTATGTAACCATGGTACTTTGTACAATGAACGCAATGCGTGTGAAAATGGAAAAACACGTCATGTGATCCTCTCGCTCTCAATGAGATCTTGGCGGCCAATGTATTCACAAATTCCCATCATGCCTTCAACAGAGGAAATCCAGAATGTAATTATTTCGTGTTTTTATATTTAATGCGACCTTATACGATACTAATTTATTTGCATTACGTATATGTATTACCGAGTGCACTAAGTAATATACCTTATTTGCATATGACCTCGGAGATCTCGGCGAGAGGGAGAGGGACACGTGACTTGTTTCCGCCCACAGCAGTGTTCCATTCTCCGCCTCCATCGCGCCTACTCTTCAAAATACAGTGATTTCTGTTGTCAGGGGAACAGTTAACGTGATGAAGAGGGGGAAATGAATTACAATTTTGGGGTGCAAAACCTAGTCTCGCTTTCTCGAGATTTTAGCGGCCATTTGCGAATACGATCTGTTCACATAAAACATGATTCATTTTATTATTTATGAGGAAATCGACTCGACCACAGATTCTCTACAGCACGAGTGTATTGTACCACGCTGAAAGATATGTAGCCGTGGTTTTGTAAGTTAATGCTGAAATTAGCCAAGACACGCTGTTCACCAACTGTTTACCTCGACATTCAAAAGGTTTATGGTAGAAATACATTGCTACGTAACACCACCAAACTAACGTTCTAAAGAAAAACAACACACGTCTAAAGTAAGAATTTACTGAAGAAAACGCGTATTGTACCGAGTATGACCTCGGGCGGAGCTACGTCACAAGACGTTCCACGTTGCTAAGACGCGCACCACTGTACCACGTATTTATATTGGCTCTGTGCGCGCTGCTGGGGGAACGCGGAACTCCGAGCGAAGAGCCGGTGAAAATTCGAGAAAACAACAGGAACTCAACTTTGAAGTAATCCTGAACAACCAAATTTATATATGTTACACACGCAGGGCTAATCTCGTTATACTCGATCTTCAGGGGAGTCTCAACAACCATCGCAAATGTACCGTTTCCTGGGAGTTTTCGGCCTTTGTTTTCACCGTGATGGTTGCCATGCGGTGAAAATGACCGGATGCCCCCCCCCCACCCCCGAGAGTACGATACATTTAAATTGTGTTCGTCAACGCGCGGAATAAAGCTGTGTAGTTGTACGTCATTTTTTCTTTTTTGTTA